GATAGAATATGATCCTAGAACCATTTGTGTTGTATTTTGTGGATCGACTATCCATTTATATTATGTCGTCGAGCCAATGTTTGAAAAATCATACCGTCAAATATGTGCTTGAAAGCAACGATGATTCCAATACACATCATTAAAATATAATTTTATCATATCCCAATCAGTAGGTTAACGTTCAACTCAGACGGTTGTCAATTTTTAATAGAAAATGATGGTTTTGAAACATATGAATAGTCAATTGACCATTTTGTAACTTTTAATTGTTGGGGGATTTAACAAAATAGTGTCTTATAATCGAGGGACCATTTTGTAACTTTTAATAGTTGGTGGACTCAACAACGTAGCATGCTATAATCGATTTGGGTTGTTCGATGTTTTATTTAAATTTAATTATAAATATTTATAATTTTATGATATTATTTTATTCCAATTTAAATGATTTTCTATAATTATTTACAACATACATTTATATTTCTTCATATTTTTCATATGTCATATCATATATCATCCAGAGTTGAGAGAATTGACTCAAACTTGAAAATCAATCTACTTACTAAAATAATGAGTTATTTGAGTTTTTTATAATTTCACTCAAGTTTGATTTTTTAATCGAATCTAGTTTACGTAATTATTAATCGAGTTAATTCGAGTCAAATAAAATGGTCAAATTTTCAATTCAAATCGAGTTCTACTCGATGTACGTTTGGTTAGTTATAAATAATCTGAATAAAATATATATACCTTTTTGGTGAGAGCAAGTTGTGAAACTGATTCAACGTTTATTATCAAAATGATTGAAAGTATTTAGAATATATATTAATTTATAATCACTTTAGCTTTGTCGGAACCGTCTTTCGGTTGGGTCCCGGAATTGGGCTTCGACTTGAAAAATGTGGATTGGAGTCGCCACCGATCATTTATTTTAGAACAAATTGGTTGATCGGATACCCTATTTCTTACATGATCTGCGTCTTACCAAAGATGTGTCGGATTCGGGAGTCGGTTACAGTCAAGGAAGGGTTAGTACCCTTGAACTGCCCTTTCGGTACTATATAATTTCCAGTTGTCTTTGATTAAGAAAATTGTACTTTTAAATTAAAAAGGTAAAATAACGATTCAAAACTTTACCTCTGATTGGTTTAAAAGCGTACCCCTTAAGAAGTCAAAAAAATGAGTTAGATAAAAGAATGATGCAACTAGATAAAATCAATAAAATAAAAAACAGGTGCCATAAAGGGAAAATAAATGAAATAAAAAGGTAGTAAAAAAGGTATATATATATATATAAAGAAAATAAGTAAGCAAATAAATAAAATAAATATACCTAGAAATAAAATAAAGAGACTAATAATAATAAATAAAAAAAACTGAAAATGTAAAATGAGAGAAAAAAATGAAATAAAATAAAATAAAATAAAATAGAATATACAAAATATATAATAATGATAATAATAATAATAATAATAATAATAAAACATATATAAACAATAAAGATAAAAAAAATGAGTAACAATATAGTAAAAATGAAATACAAATAAAATAATGAATATAAAAATAACTAAAGATAAAAAAAATAAAAATAAATAAAATGAATAAAATATACATATAAAGCAACATAACTACAAAACAAATATGCATCCTACTCCCATCACTTCATCGGGACTTTGGTCAGACAAAACAAATTAAAGGGGCCCGTATAATATATATATATATATATATCATATAAGATTTGTGACAAATGGATGATAGTAAAGGAGAATAGAGAACAAAATAAACACATTAAAATAATTACGAAACTGAATTAATAGTAAAAAAATAAGGTATATATATATATATATATATATATATATATATATATATATATATATATATATATAGTAGCTTGTAAATAATGTAAAAAGAAAAATATATATATATATATACATAATAAAATAATAAATAATAATTAAAAGGATTAAATCGAAATAAAAATAAATTCAAGGGCCAAATTCAATAGGAATTCGTGTTTAAAAATTGATTTGGGGTCAAAACGAATAAGTTACAAATCAGGGGGACTAAAACCGAATTTTTTCTCTCCCAGTAAAGAAACACGCGGATCCTAGGCAATTATGGGTCGGGTTACGGTCCAAACGGGTCTGCTATAAAGGTTAAATTTTTTTTTAAAACATTCATTTGCTCTCACTTCCTCAGCAGACCCATTCCCTATTTCTCTCTTTTTCTCTGCCTGGTTCATGTGTTCTTGATGAACACATGAACGCCGCCGTAGTTCCCAGATTCCGGCCACCGTTGCTGGTGCCGACCGTCGCTCGCCGGCGTCAAAATATAAAAATTTTCAATTTTTTTTGAACCCCTTCCCTTCCTTGTTTTAAAAATCCGAATAACTTTTCAAAAGACACTCGCCTCGGGGGCTAGATCTACGTACATAGATCTTGAAAAACGCCCCCAGTTCATCGGCTAAGAAATGATTTTTTGGGGTTGATGTGTAACCAAACAACGAAACAAGATCCCTACGCATGCAAAAACGACAAAGGTAAGAGATTTTTACCTCTACTTCTTTTCGAAATATAGTAAAAACTCTTCGACTGTTTTGAGTTTTTTGGATGATTCCCCTGGTATTTCTCTCAAATTTCAGTATGTATCTCGTGTATCCACTGTTGTAAATCGTGCTCGAAATGACTGCCTTTTTTTCAATGGGTTCTGATTACATATATTTATAGGAATAAAAATCCTATTTTTAGGTATTTACAACCGAATAAAACACTAATGCAATCTGTTTGTGTTTGTTGGTGATAACCGAGACTCTAGCGCCGGATGGTTCGGTGGGTTGAAGCGTGTTGGTTGGAGTCCCACACGTCCACGATCTAGGCTTGTTGCCGAGAAGCACGGGGGAGAGGCGTACGAGCCTGGGAGTGACTTGCGGCGCAGAAGGGGAAGGCTTGCTGGAAACCCTAGCCTTCTGCAGATCCTGAATCCTGGACTGGGTCACGCGCAGTTGGTCTTTGTACTGCTGGGCCGTGATCCTATTATCGGGCCTGAAAAAAAATGTAAATAAATGTAAATATGAATAAAGACTTATATAGTTTATAATACTATATAGTATAACATCAGAAAAAATTGAGTGTCTTCAAGCTTAATAAAAAAATGGTGAGAGTGATTAATTGAATAATGGCACTCGTAAGATTTTAGCGTAGACATCATCCAGTCTACCGGCAAAAGCCATCGATTTCGAATTTCAACTTCTTTGACCAGGAAAAATTCTAAAACCAACCGTCACTTTCATTTTGAAATAATTTTTTTTGTAATTAGGTGATATTTTATCTAATTGTATTATATAAAATATCATATTATCTTGTCCCACACAGAACATTACAAGATTTGTACAAAATTGTATATAATGTTTTGTGTAATACCTTGTTTTTGTGAAGTGTAACTAAAAATTGAAACTTTATAATTATCTTAGAAATCACGCAAAACATTATTTAATTATAAAATTACATAAAACATTAATTAGTTACATAAATTATTACAAATTGAAACTAATAAATATTGCATATTTTTTAATGCAATGTTTGTATATTTAGCTTTTAAGGCACTATAATTAAAAGATTGACTTGAATATAATAAAATAAAATATTCAAATATTATTTAAACTTTGACTCAATTATAAATAGTTTATTTAACGAATTATCTAGATTTAGTAGTTGCATGGTCAGTGGTCAATTCAAGAGAAAGAAAAAAGTGGGTAGAGCCACCTTTCTTTCTTTCTTTCTTCAAACTAGTATGGGTATTAATTGACTCAATAATTACATAATAAGAGTTAATTTATCTTTTTATGTTGAATTTTATTAAATTATTTGAGGTAATTAATATATAATATTTATTTATATTTTTTTAATTATTGACATTGTACATATATTTCACAAAAATAACTGTTTGAACTTAAAATTTTAAAAAAGTTTAATACTTCTTTTTAATCACTTAAACTACTTAATGAATTCTAAAAATTAATTTATACTATATGTTTTGGTACATTTAATTGAGATTAATTTTAGGGCACACACATATATATATATATATATATATATATATATAATTTTATTTTCAAATATAATGAAGAGATAGAAAGTATAACTATAAAAAAAATAAAAAAAATCATTTTATATTTTTAAAATAAAGTTAAATCAAAACTATTAGTTTAAATATGATAAAGATGTTTAAACTTTAAAATTTAACTCATATATTTCATGCTTACGAAAGTGCGTCTCTTTCTTATATTTTATTTAGAAAATGTGATATTTCTTTAAGTTTTTCTAATTTTATGATTAATCTTTAAAAAATTTAATCCTTTATATTTACAATTTATATTAATTTGCCACGTAAATGATTAAAATATATATTATTTAATTAATGATAATTATTTATTTATTTTTAAAAATAAAGAGTCAAATTGATATATATAAGAGACTAAAAAATTTAGTTTATCATTTTTATAACTATCGGGACAATAATTAAGGGTAAAATTAAACATAATTTAGAAAATAGACCAAAATATTTAAATAAAAAATAATATAAATTCTCAATTTTATAAAATAAAATATAAAAATTTAAATTTTAAAAAATAAAAAAACCTTAAAATATTCGACGGAATCAAGATTGAGAAATTGATACCAGAAGTAACAAATATATACTTCCAAAAACAAATAAACTAAAAATATCATACTGTACTATTAAATACATAAAAAATGCAGAACACATGCCCTCTTAATTGGTCTTATTCTCGGTAATACAAAATTTGAACGTAAACGGCCTTGAACCGGAGGATGTTAAAGTACTGTTTGTTTCCTAAGAAAGCATCTACCATTAAAAAGCTTTACTAAGTTTACAAATAACACGCAAAAAAGCAAAGGAATTTTTGTTTTTTTTTGCCTCTTTGTCAGCCAAACACGAGCAATTTCCTTACCACTATAAAAGCAAGTTTCAAGGGATAAAGGCTACTTCATAAATCTCCACAAGCCTCTGCTTTGATTCATTTCATCAGCAGCAATATACCGGTAATTAATGAACACTTTCGTATTGTGTTTCTGATTTATAGCTTTGGATTTTCTTTCTGGGTTCTGTTTGATCTAGTTGCTTCTTTATGATTTCAGGGGTTTTTGGTTGATTTTCAGTTGGCTATTTAGAATGGAGAATCAAGCAACAAATGTGTTGATCACTTCAGATGGAGATGAAATCTCAGTGAGCATTGCTTTACATTTAGCCAAACGTGGTTGCAGGTTACATGTTCCCTACTTTTTATGAGATTATGTATTCAATATTCTTGTTTCCTCGGGAAGAAAAAAACTATCATAGAAATTCTCAGTATTTTCCAAAGCTTTTTTAAACAAAAGCTTTAGCCTTGGTTTTATTCAAAATTATTTTCAATCAGTGTTTTGTCTTCTTTTCTCAATCCAATCCATTTGATTATGTATACCATTGCTGTTCATTGTTCATCAATGGAGCAAAAGTGGAATTTAAGAATGATATTGTGGGCATGTGATTAGGTTGGTGTTAATGGGAAATGAAGGCTGTCTAAGGAGTGCTAGAGAGAAAATAATGGGTTCAGTAAAGAATGCAGTCCCAGTAGAGGTGATTGGATTGGATATGGAAGATGTAAGAGAGGGAATATTTGATGATGCAGTTGATAAAGCATGGAAAGCTTTTGGTCATTTGGATGCTCTAGTGAATTGTTATGCCTACGAAGGTTGGTAATTATCCATCTCAATTTTCTATTAATATTGTTTTGGACTGATCTACTCGTATATTTTTTCCTGATGGGAAGGGATATTATACTTTGAATTTTAAAATCAATGAAAAGCAGTTTGCAATGTTTATACCATATTATATTAATAAATTAGACTAGGTTATCATTTCAAGGAGCATGTGTAATAATTGTTTATTTAAAGGAAGTTTTGTTCAGTGATGGGCTAAAGTTAAAAGATGATGTAGACCATAAGTTTATAAATTAACAGAGCTTGAAAGTAGTACATATCAAAACATGGGATCTTTTTGTATTGTTTGTAATAAAGGAAAGGGAAGTTCTAATCTGAAACTTTTGCCATCAGGGCTCTTCTTATTAATTTACTCAAGTTTTATTTTCAAATGGGTACATTACATTGAGATCTACGATACTATAAGGTGAAGACCAATATACTTGTACTTTATAAACCTGTAAAGATTGTGAAATTTTGGTGGTGATTTTCAAGGAAAGTTGAGAGTGTTTTGCATAAGAAAACAAAATGTATATATGCTTCCTCTAGGTATCTCTTTCATTGCAGTGTTCATTCCAGTGCAATGTAACAAGTGAAAATTATGTGAAGCAGGGAAGATGCAAGACCATCTGCAGTTAGCTGAAGAAGAGTTAAAAAAAATCATAAAAATAAATTTTATGGCTCCATGGTATCTGCTCAAAGCAGTCGGGAGGCGGATGCGGGATCGTAAATCGGGTGGTTCCATTGTACTCATGACTACGCTACTCGGAGCTGAAAGAGGGCTCTATCAAGGAGGTGCTGCATATGGCTCATGTTTGGCAGGATTGCAACAGCTAGTTAGAGTAACTCCTGAGCGTTCCTTTTAGTCTCCGAGTCATTTAACTCGGTTCCTTTCAGCAAAAACTTATCTTGCTTGCTCTAACTCTTTACAAACATACTGATATATCCTATGTGGTGGAATATCGAAATGACTTCCGGTTTTTCTTTCATTGTTGTTATTAGGTATCAGCTTTGGAGATTGGGAAACACAAGATCAGGGTTAATGCAATAGCTCGTGGTTTGCACTTAGAAGATGAATTTCCAAAGTCAGTTGGAAAGGAGAGGGCAGAGAAGTTGGTGAAAGAAGCAGTTCCATGGCAGAGATGGTTGGATGCTAAAAATGATCTGGCTTCAACTGTTATCTATTTAATAAGTGACGGTTCCCGCTATATGTCCGGAACGACTATATTCGTCGACGGGGCACAGTCTGTAGTCAGGCCGCGCATGCGATCATATATGTAATTCCTTTTCCGAGCATCCTGATACAGAAAACAGCATTCAATCAGCTAGCTATGAGAACGATATATTCTTTGTTTTTCACTTATGATTTACTGAAGAGATCATAAACTCAGACGATTCAGTGAGCACCAACCGACTTGCTCGATTCATTGGAGGTTTTGTATGTTTTGAAACTGGTTGTGAATTGGAAATGATGACAGAATATGTTATGGTAACATGCGTACTTGAAATAGAATAAAAATGGTTTCAAATACACATCAAGTTATCATATGATATTTATAACAATTTAAAACATAACATCAAATTATTGGAGTAACCATTAAAATAAAATGCTTTATAATATAACATGCAAACAATTTAAAATCAAAGTTGATATTCATAATGAAACACCAAAATTCCGGGCTAGTAGTTTCGAGTTTACTCGAAAGATATGTGGATCTCGTGAAGTTCGTAATTAAAGTTGTTGGACCAAGTTGGGCTAAATTGGGTTGGAATTGATCCCAATTATCCATAAAAAAAGGTTTTTGAAAAGTAGAAAGAAGAGGAAGGACCAAATGTACAATTTCACCTTTTTAAAAAGATGAGAGCTTTTATATCTTATTTTATCTTCTTCTCTTCATTTCATCCTTTCCATTCTCTTCCCCTTCATCTCCTCCAAGTGTCATAGCTAAAGGTGAGTCGTTTGAGCCATTGCATACTTCTTTTAAGCTTCAAATTCTTCCATAATTCCTCCAACAACCTTGTTTTGAAGATTTAAGCTTTGAGTTTCATATTTTGCTAGAGAAAGTGGGGTTTTATCATCCAAGTCCTAGAGGAGAGTGTTGGTTGGCTAAAGGAACTTCGTTTTGGGTTTCTAACACCAAGGTAATCTATTTCTAATCTGTTATGGTGTTAAGGCTTTCATAACAATGAATATTTGTTAAGATTTGAGTATTTTAGCTTTTTAGGTTTTATGCTTGATTTCATGATTAGATGATGTTTTTGATGTAAAACATGTTTTTTGATGATACTTGGTGTCCCTAAGTAACTTCCTTAATCTTTAACGCATGTTTTGGGATCAAAATAAGACCTTTGGGATTACTTTTGGGTGTTCCCTGAGCATATGAGAGAGAATTCTAGGTAATAGTATTGATACTACAAGAATAATGTTGATACTCATTTTCCAACGTTGGAAAAGGATATCAAATCCAATGCTGGAAACAAATACAGAATCCAACACCGGAAAGGATACCAAATTTGATGCCGAAAAAGAATACTGATACTGACAATAGGAGTATTGATATTGTCCCTCCGGTATCGATATTGGGCAACTTTTTAGTAAACAAAAACCATTTGCAGTACTAATACTAATATGAGTTTTGATACTTGACCCTAAGGTATCAATACTACAAGTAGAGTACCGATACTACCCATTTTGGATGGTTAGATTTGATCTCGTTAAGGCCCGTAAGAGTTAAGAACGATCCATAATTGTGGAACTTAGTTCGTGAAGGACAAAAATAACCAAAGATGCCTAGAAACACTCATAAATGTGGGTTACAACTAAGTTAACCATACTAAGCGTAGTCTAGTGCGCATTAAATAATTAAGAACAAAGATCATTGAAGAGGATGTACCTATAATCGGTACAATAAGTAAGCTGGTTACATAATAAAGAAATTGTGTACTACATGGACGTCAATAAACCGAGGACATATAAGTTGTCCCTCAAATTCAAAGGGTATTAAGGAGAAGTACGATAAGAGTGATCAGAGTGTCGCTACTCAGTAATGAAACCGAGTGAGATATAAGGCTAGCAAGTAATACAATCAGTGAATGGTAGAATAAATAACTGTCATAAATCATGAAACACATATAAACCTCATTAAACTAAAAAACGACTAAAACACCCTTAATACATCCAGTGAATAGTAGAATCAATAACTATCATAAATAAACCTTTGCATGACGTTCTAGATAAGAGAATGAGCGAGATAGCAGTTAATGAGAGGATGACCTCACTTTAGTGTGACGAGCTACACTAGTGTATAGTTAGGCTACCTTAGTTATCCTAATGAGGCATTGTTTGTGTTGTGTGGACTTTAGGCCCTCAGATATGCATGTATAGTTGCAACAATTTGTACAATAGAAATCCTTAAAGCTTGGCTTAACTATTGTGAGATCGAGCCAATGCTTTAGTTGAGTAAGAATTGTACCTCTTGTAATGTGATGACCGGTTTCCCCTCAGTGATCTACCTGATTGTTATGTGAGACCAAGAGATCATTCAAAAACTTAGTGGGAATTTTACCGAGGCTATGTGACTATCAGGTTTCCTAATATTACTAGTATTTGATGGCTATGTGAGACCATATACTAGTAGAGTGTTGCATTTAGATAACACAAAATAGTGTCAGTGTCATATTTAGATAATGTACAACAGTGTGTCATATGCCGCACTTAGAGAATGCACAATAGTTACAGTTAATTTGTTTAGAGACCAAATAGAGTTGTACTTATGGTGAGGTCCTCAGTTGAGGATTAAGGGAAGCATGGGACCCCAACATCAGCAATTGAACAGTTGAACCTTAAGTAGGTAGCACATGATTAAAATCATGTATGTTCCTACTGCTTAGTACAATGTCTTTAGCATGCTTATGTTTATGAGACTTATAACGATACTCTAGATTAGCGATTATATTGTTGGGCTATATAAGCTTAGCGTTCGGATATTTCTAGTTCATAGGTTATTAGTTTGAGTCGTTTGAGGAGCACCGTTGGAACAGGACTTTCAACATCTCTTCTAGAGTACTGTAATGTAGCTTTAGCGGATATATGTATTCATAGAGCCCTTATTATTGTATTCAAATATATAAATCTGAGTTGATTTATTTTAGTTTTAAACTATGTCACGGAGCTCTGATTTATAAAAGTTTTTTTATAACTGACATGTATGTCTAATTTGGTACCATTCAATATATTTTAAAATGAAAATGAATAGTTTTTTTGTTTACAAATCAGGGTTGATTTGGTAGCCCAACTTTAGGCCCAATTAGGTTTAGGGTGTTACATTTAGTGGTATCATATCGTCATGTTGAGTCAGTCCTAGGACCTAGTGGTCAGTTATAGTAAGGTGTCAGTGAATACATGCCTCTAGGTACTGAAAGTACTTGTATAAGTATGGAATCTTGTTGGTGCATATTTTCTTTGTCTATGTTGTAGAAATTTGTGATTGTTTATAGTTCTGAGTGTAACCTCGAGGATAAGACGGAGAGTCATGCATGTAATCCCAATAGTGTCAGGGATCAGTTCCTACCTAGGGTAAAGGATCACGGGGTTCTGTTAGGTCCGACAGTCATAGAAGTGAACTTATTTAGAGGTTTGATTTATACTCTCAAAGAATAGTAGATATCATTCCTAGGGCACATACTATTCAGTTGGCCACCCAGAGTACGTTAGTGCCAATAGCGTACCCATTAGAGAGATTGAGGAAGTATAAGACAATTGACTTCTTTGGCTCAAGCGATGATGATTCAATTTTAACCGATTAGTCGTTGAGAGAGATCATAAAGACCTTGAGGCAACTTCAACTTACCCGATAGGTTAAGTTATAGTGTTTCACCGCTTTACTCAAGAGTGATTCTATTGATTGGTTGGAGATTGTAGAGATGACTCTACAACTAGAGGTGTTAGGGTATGCCCAAAGACCAATCATGTAATGATTGTATTGACATATTTTCTTTACCATATTTATTAAATAAAGGCATTACCATTATTTTATTTTGTTAAATTTTTGTGTATTAAATAGACTATAAGATAATAATGTCCATATAATAATATGATTATTATTGAAAGGTCTTTAGTCAAGTATTATAATGGACATGGACAATAATAATATGTTTAAGGCTAACATGTTGTTGATTGATGACAATGAGTTATTATTAACATAGAGACGTCAAAACTGATGCATGAATATGTCATTAGGGAACAACATATTGGATTGACCCTCTATGAGCATATGTCTTGAATTATTACGTGACAGTCACAACATTACATGTATGATCCTCAGATTTGAGATCATTACTATGTCAACATATATTGTCGTTTGTTTGGATACAATCAAACATGCTCCGTAATTGGTCGTACTATAAAGAATGATGTTGAACACACTACGATATATGTATTGGGGTGTGAATGATAAATACAAGATTGTTCTTCTTACATAATAGGAATTATATCAGAGACCAATTGATTGTGTGAGAATATAAATGAATGGAAAATGCTCGAACAACTTGATATGAGATATCATAAGTTGTTCATTTATTGTAGTCGACTCTAGATATCAAGAAATGTTAGATGACTATATGAGTATGATTATTCTAGGACTTGTGCCTATTCTAGATATCAAGAAAAGAAAATTTTCTTTCAATGAGCAGAGGCAGAGACGTTTTCATGGAGACTAACGATTTGAATTGTTCATGATTAGTCTACCAATTTTGTTGTTATTCAAGGAACCCAAGGTAAATCACACATCACTTCCTCCCGAATTCAAGCTTTCGTACTTGGATCGCTGGTGAGATCGCCAGATAATTTTTCTGCTGCGCTAGAGGGTAAGTTAGAGTACATCACCGCTTTACTCAAGGGTGATGCTATTGATTGGTTGGAGACTACAGAGATGGCTCTATATCCAGAGGTACCTATGTGGGATCAGTTCCTAAATGAGTTTAGAGGAAAGTATATCGACGAGGCACACATGGATGGGTTGAGGATGCAATTCTCTTAGCTAGTTCAGGGAGATCGCTTTGTGTACGAGTACGAGAGAGATTTTCTAAATTTGATTAATGCTCAAGAGTTGGTTGCGACTGATTCATTGAGGTGCAGGAGGTTCCTTGAGGGCTTCATATTGATATCCATGCATAGTTGGCAGCATACCCACCTAAAGTGTTTTCAGAATTGACACAAACAGCTAAGGTCGTGGAGAGGGTGTAGAGTATAAGGTAGAGTTTGTTAGGTGAATCAAGCAGTCTAATTTTGAGGGTTTATATACTATTTGATCTATCTCATTCAATGATGGAGAGGATCATAGGTTTACATGAACATAGGAAAGTGATGTCAACTTTGTCACTCCATTCAAGCCGAGGGTCAGACGTATGGTCTCGTAGGAGACCACTAACTTCACTATCTGTGGTGGGCTCTAGTGGCTTTGATATAGTTTTGAGGTATCCAGAGTGTGA